GTATCATAAAATATAACATGAAATAAAAATTTAGATAAGATTAATATCTTCAAGAGCATGTTTGATCTAGATAAGAATTCCTCATCTTCAGTGTCTATAGGCATGGGAGTCATGCGTTAGTGTTATCATTAATGCAGGTTTCAGCTGGAGAACAGTGATGAAAATGTAGTTTTCATTGGATTTTCCTCAAATCAAAGGGCGGATCTCTGTGATGTGATGTTGTGGTTTAAATCTGCTAATAATCTGCAAACAGTGAACGCATAAGATGATTGAATATGATGTTCATGTGTGATGGATGTACGTGACAAAATGGAGGGTGGGATGTAATGAAAATTTCTCGCTGTGAAATGGCACTGATGGGAAACACAGAAGTCGAACAGTAAAGTGTGAAAACAAGTATACATTTATATTCATATTTTTTTATTTATATTTCATTTCTGGGAGGATATCTTGTACACCAAATATCCCATTGGCAGTTAAGCGCATTCAATGTGTTCAGAAGCCAGAAACAGTCACTTGTTTTAACAAACACAAATACAAAATAAAGATAACCACAAAATAATGAACTGCATGTATATAACATACAAAAGAATCCCATGCCTACTCAGTAGGTAACTTCAACATTCCAGCTCTTGAAGATGTGGATATTTACATTTAAGTTTTACAAAAATATACTTTATAATTTTTCTCCTTTTTTGCTTACATTCTAATGAAATGAAGCGGTGCCCTCATTGCTCATCCCTTCTCCTCAGTCTGAGTATGACTTACATTCTGTAACAAAAATATTCCCTCAACCCTTAAGGCAAGATGCAGTGCATCCTTTCTCGCACGCAGCCAAGTCACAACATCAGCAAGGCTTCACAAAAGGCACCAAATAATGGGAGCGTTTGTCTTGTTTAGTTTTTTTAAAAAAATGTTTTTTCTTTTCTCTGTTTTTCCATATAACCGAGCATTATGTCACATGTGAGAAAGAGAGAAAGAGATAGTACCAGTGGATGATATTTACAAACAGAAACTAACATCACTCTTACTCATGCTTGAATATTTAAGTGACTTTTTTTTTCCAAACAATGTCAAAACGTATCACAGCATCATCACTACATAATAGAGAAAGTATGTAGAAAGTATGCTCACTTCAAATAATACAATGCAAATATGCAAATAATTTTTCACATCAATGGTACCAAAGAATGATAAAAACGAAACATGGCACATGTACAATATACATATATGGTAGCTTATGTATATCATTCAATGTCTTTTGTATTGTTTGCAAGGGCGAACATGCCTTTGCACTACAACTGCTGGCAATCTGTTTGTCTCTTGATTTTGTGTACCTAGTAGAGAGACCCGTCAGTGTCATTGTCTACTCTCTATGTGTTGAGCCCCTTACACATTTGAAGTGCTGCATTTGTTTTACAGAGACAGAAGAATTCCCTTTTCATCTTTTATTGTCTTTGCCCAGTCCTTGACATGCAGTTTTTTCTCTCTTTCAGGTAAATCTCAAGATTCACTGAACTCTGCACAGAGAGCAGACAGAAAAGTGCTTTTTTAGAGGGGAAAACAAAGTCTTTTGATGCTGATTTCTTTCCCCTCAAAGAACCTTATGGAAGGAGAGGTTTGGAGAGACTGGAAAAAGTTTTTCTCCTTCCTCTTTCTTAGCAGATCTCGATTGTTCTTGGTGAGAGAGCGGTCTGCATGTCTGATAGTGGGGTGGGAACGGGGGAGCTGTAGATGTTGGAAACGACTGAGGAAGGGAAGGAGGAGGCAACCTGGGACTGAAAGGTGTTTGACATGGACACTGATGGGTAGGTGGTGGCGACAGAAGGAGATGGATAAGAGGTGTGAACAGGAGAGGAGTAGCAGGAAGTGACCGGAGAGGGGTAAGAAGACACTGGAGAGGGGTAGGAGGTGATGGGAGAGGGGTAGCTGGAGGCCGGTGAGGCAGCTGATGCCGGTGCTGTGGTTACCACCACTGCTCCTGCTTTCTCTGCTTTCTTGTCCTTCTGCCGAAGGTGGATCTTTGTGTGCCTCTTCCTCTCATCACTGCGAGCAAACTTGCGCCCGCAGATCTCGCAGGCAAAAGGCTTCTCACCAGTGTGAGTGCGAATGTGTGTTGTCAGGTGGTCGCTGCGGCTGAAGTTGCGCATGCAGATGCGGCACTGGAAGGGTTTCTGACCTGTGTGGATGCGGATGTGACGTGTCAGCTCATCAGAGCGTGAGAAGCGACGATCACAGGTCTCCACAGGGCAAGCATAGGGCCTCTCGTGTGGGGGCGTTTTGCTCGGCCGAGTGGGATATTTGCGCATGCGGCTTGGTTTGATCAGCTGGGACTGATAGACACTCTTTAAGTCCTGGGAACCAGTCTGGGTGGCAAAGGCCTTGATGGTGGACAGGGGAGTGAGGGATGGCTGGCTTGACTGAGTCTGGAAGGGTTTTTGGTCAGGGGGCACCAGGCTGATCTCTCCCTGCTGCTGAGGGAAGAGGTAATCAGGAATCATTGGCACGGGGAAGCTGGCGCTGCAGCTCTTGCTGTTGGGATAGGCAGGAGGAGGGTACTGCACTGCTCCCACCGAGCTGGGAAAAGCCTGGCCCTGGTCTGGGAAGATGTCAGAGTTGGAGCTGGAGTAGGTTGGAGCTGCTGAGTAGATGGGGTTGGGTTCACTGTGGTGAATGGAGGAACTTAGGCTGGAGCTCTGAGATGAAGAGGAAGTAGAAGAGGAGGAAACAGAGGAAGATGGGACTGATGTAGCGGAGGATGAGGTGGTCTGCGAGGCAACAGAGGAAGAGGTGGAGCTGGGGGCAACATTGCCCATCAGACCAGTGAACAGACCCAAGATGGGCTCCGCCCAGAGGCTGTTGCTGCAGGTAGTGGCAGGCTCCAGGGTGAAGCGGCCTGTGTATGAAATTGGGGGAAGCCTCTGAGTTGGGTATGTCTGATCGGACACTGGTTTCTCACAGTTGAAAGGGATATCAGGTAACGTATCTGCAAGGAGAACAGAGAAAGAAGAGACATTAATCAAACTGTCAGTATTTGGGGGGTGGGGGGCTGCCAGAGCAGTGGACAGTGTGTCACCCTCTCTCTTCAGTGACAGCTCAGTCAGGTGCCAATGCAGAGAAACCCTGTCCAATTAAACTCTACCCCCCTCAACTCTAAATCTGTCTCTTCCAAGCCTTAACAGGAGCTGCTGTGCAAGCTCTCTAGACTCGCGTTTCCCTCTGCTCACACTCTCTCGATCTTTCTTTCATTCTTTCTGTCTTCCTGTATTGCACACACACACACACACACACACACACACACACACACACACACACACACACACACACACACACACACACACACACACACACACACATTTTTGAAGCCTATCACAAAGCCTGAGGCAATTGATTACCGAAACTGCAGTTCAGCTGGTTTTAGGAATGCAATTCGAATTGCGCTGTAGGAGTGTCTAGAGGCATGCGATGGCTGAGCAGTGTTTAATTCCTCCGAGAGGCAACGGGGATGTAGAGCCATCAGTATATTATTATTAAGTCAGATGTTTTTTTAGTTGTCTTGATTTTATTTATTTGTAGCATTTTATTGCATTAATGCCCCATCAGCTAAAATTAAATTTTACTTGCAACCTGGAATTCCTCTTTATAAAATTTGTCACTACATGCCACCATAAAACAAATTAATAGAATTAGTTATGTAACTAAATATCTTCATATCTCAACTATAGTTATGTGATCAATGCAAAATATGAATGAATGAAAACAATACATAAATAACAAAGTTATACAGTTGTTTATTTTTCCTAACTCTTTTCTTGATTTAGTTGAGCTCATCAGATGTAATCTAATTTTCAGTTCAGCTTTACATGCAGCATAGAGAACCAGAGGAAAATCTTCAGCTCTTACCTCCAGCAAGGTGGTCGTACTGCTCTCCTGGCTCCCCGGATCCAAAGCCTGCACCTTCAGGTGCGGAGGCGGTGAGGAAGGGGGTCCCTGCAGAGCTGAGCATCATCACCTCCTCCAGTTTGGGGTAGTTATCCATGGGGGAGTGAGGGAAGCTCACTGGCTCTGAGATCTGCAGGGCTGGGAGGATCATCTCGGTCTTGGCTGCAGCCATCCTCTGCTAGTGCTGGAGCTGCAGGACTGAGGCTGCACTGGTGGCTGGTGAGGAGCGGAGGGAAGCTGTGTGCACGCTGGCAGAGCGGTGCTTCACAGGAGGAGGGAATCACTTAGCCCAGCTCTGGGGGTGCTGCAGACTTCTGCTGATGCCGAGGAAGATACTGCTGTCTGCCTCGCTCCTTGACTCTCGTTCTCCAGTTGTCCTGTTGTTTTCCGTGTTTTTCTCAGAGATGGGTAAAGATCCACTTGTCTTTTCAGAAAAAATCAAAAGTGTCCTTAATACTCATTCCCTAAGATTTATCAAAATTAATCAACAGATTAATCTTGGTTTTCTTTCTGTGTATTAAATTACTTTATCCGGTCAGGTTTTGATCTTCTTAGATGGATGTTGTTTTGAATTGACTTTTTACTTTTGGCGTGATATTTCTGAGTTAGGGATTTCTGTGTGTTTCTCTATCTATCTCTGCTCTAACGGTTGCTCCTGTGGACTCTCAGGGCTCTCTCTGAGCTGAGAGGTTTCCCCGCTCCTTTTATACACTACGCCGTGACGTAGATGTCCATATTTGGAGCGTAGGAAGCCCATATTTAGGCACTGCAGTGGAGGACACATGACGCTGGCCCGGGAGGAAAGCAGAAAGGAGAGTCTTTATGTTAAGCTTTTGCAGTAAATTGCGAAGACAGCCTCTGTCCCAAATCAATGTATCTTCATAGGAGAACAACTCCGTGGGACAGCAGCATAATTTTTACTCTTTCCACGTCGCCCCATAG